TGAGCCGGCCGCCGAGAGGCTTAGCCGAGCGGGAGACGTGGCGTGTAAACGGCACATGCCGGAACAAAGTTGTCGCGTAGCCATGCGTCGTGCCGCAGGGCGGCCATCATTTGGAAGAGGCACAATGCTTGAGTGTGGGGGGCCGCTTGAGCCGAGCGGTATGATTCCTGCTTCTGCCTCCCGAGGTCGCCGGTTCGATTCCCGATGCGCCGATTTTTCTATCCGGACTCCCCCCCCATCCGGACACGAATGTCACTGAAGACGGTCACCATAATAAGGCCACGCTTGGCAAGTGCCACAAGTAACACATGGAAGAAGCAAGATGAAAACGGCATATGCCGGTAACTCGTGCCTACCGGATATTATGTTGGAGGTAGGACGACCCTAGAAATAGGACCCTTAATCCGTAAAATAACGAGAACACTCAATTCAACAACATCAATGCTTGAGTGTTCAGCAGCAGGTGTTGGAGGTGCAGCTTGGTCAAATGTGCAGCTTGGTCAAGCCTATAACCGTTATTTCGACAGCCTTGCATCCAGCTTGGACTGAGGCGGGGTGACGCGTATGGCCCGGTTCCTTGTCGCATATCCGGAATTCGCGTGCGTCTAGCCAATCTGGGCTCATGACGTGGCAGCTCATGCGCCGCCGTGGAGCATTGCCGATCACCACACCACGCGCACCATTCCGCGAACAATGCGCGTGGTCTCGAGGCAAATTGCACGAGTGACCGAGTGCGATCTTTGGCAGGCACACTGCAACGCGCTGCCATGTCGACAATTGAGTCGACGCCGCTCCTTGAGCCTGCCTTCAATTCGTGGGCGGAAGGACTCGGCGTGATGCGCATGGCGCTGCCCTTGGTAATCGAAATACCCCTCGTCCAATCAAGATATATTCTTGCTCCTAGATGGCAACGTTTGTGCTGGAGAGTCTTCCAACGCTGCTGGCGCTGGCCATTCTCGGCCACCTGGACGTGCCAGAGGTCCAAGACTACGTTAGCGCCGCCGCCCTCTCGACAATGGTGAAGCACCTAGGAGGATCTATAGGTCTTGAGATTTCTCGATAGCTCACGACAGTGACGGGGATTTCGGTCGGGAACGGGCTCATCTCGGCCATGGACACACTGAGTTCGCAAGCCGTTGGCGCCAAAAACCAGAGCTGCTCGGACTCCACCTGCGCACGGGTGTACTCGTCGTCGGGTACATTTACACTTCATTTCTTTTGCCGTCGACCGTCGCTCGTATATGTAGAGCTGCATATGTGTTGATGGTCCTCATCAACGTCAACGCTCAAAGTATCCTGGAGATGCTCGGCCAGGACGCCAGAGTGGCCTCTCTCGCTGGCGCCTACTCCCGCATCACGATCTTCGGCCTCCCCGGACTCTATCTGTATGAGCTCGCCAAGCGCACGCTGCTGGCACAGAACATTGCGTCGCCGATGGTGCACATTGCGCTTCTCAGCAATGGCATCTACATTGCGCTCGCGTACATCCTTTGCTACCACTCGTCCCTGGGTACGTCCAATCAACTGACATTGTAGTAGTATCTTGATGAAGAGTGGGCTAGGTTTCTACGGCGCCGCATTTGCCTGGCTTGTCTCTTATTGGAGCCTCGCGCTCCTTACGCTACTGTACCTCTGCGTCTCGTCCGCGCACCGCTCGTGGGCGCTGGAAGCCACGAGTTGGCGACAAGCAAGTATACACGCGCCTGCTTTCTTGCAGCTCGGTGCCGCAGGTACGGACTGTAGATACAAGTATACATGTTCAAACACGTTTAGGCATGGCGATGATGCTCATGGAGTGGTGGGCGTTCGAGCTCATGGCACTCCTCGCGGGCATGCTTGTCCATCCTGCGGTGGCCATTAGCGTCCACGCCGTACAAGAAGCTTCTCGTGTACTCACTCACTATTAGTTCGTCTAGATCGTCGCCAACGTCTCGTCATCGGTTTATAGCATCTTTTTGGGTGTCTCGGTGGCCACGGGTGTCCGCGTCGGGCAGTTGATTGGCGCCGACAACGTCACGCACGCCAAGCACATGTCGGCACTCGGTCTCGGGCTCACAGCGGTCACTGGTGTGCTCGTCGGTGCGTCACTACATATCTTTTGTATCAATGTATCAGCATCAATCGTGCAGCTCTCGTGCTCGTGGCGGCTCGGGCCTATATCCCAACGTGGATCGTCAACGACCCAAGAACGATCGCGTA